AATCAAATTGTTATCTTTTCAGCCTTAATAGAAACTGTCGAAGACATGTACTTACTCTTCTTTAATAAATGCCTGAATTCTGTGCAAAATTAAATGGATGAATGGGCTTTTATAATGCTTGGGAGTCATGTGTAGACATGCCACAGGGTACAGATTAACCTGTATTTTCTTCACAGTCATGCCTACAGAATCATAGAAGAGTAAGGCTTAAAAACATTCACTAATCCATGATTATGTGTCAGTGCAGGTTCAGCTCTATTTAGGCGAATCCTTACCATTGCCTCTCTGACTTCTTCTGAAAGATCTCCACTAATGGAAGGTTCACATCTCTAAGACAATCTGCTTCAGTGCTTCAATATTCTTTGCTTTAGAGAGCTATTTTCTGTTTTCCTTTCTGTGATTCAATTGGAAATCATAGATACTGTGAGCATAAAGAATAGGTTATTCTCTTCCTTTTTCCCATGTTGCACGGTTGTGCTGAATGTAAAAATGATAGGTAAGTGTTGCAGCAGGGCTGTGCTGTCATCCTCTCTAGAAACAGCCAAGGAAACACATTAGGTAAATGAAGCAAGGCGTAGATTGGGTAGTGTAAGACCTTAATAAAAATTGATTTGAGACTTTTTGTGGATTTTATTTTCCTTCCAGTCCTAAAAATTATGATTCCTTAGGTACACGTTGGGTTTCCCTCTATTACCCATAACAGTTGAAAATAAAACTGTAACTGGTTCTGGTTTTTCTGCAAGTTGATACTTTAGAAACTATTGTACACTTGTTTTTACAAGAAAGTAGTAAAACTTGTACCACTTAAATATGCATTTCAAAATGTGTTTTGGCTGGTCAGAAAGTTGGGGAGCAAATTGTGTCATGTTCCTAACAAGAGCAAGTGGCTGAACTAGTCAAGGGAGGTTGCCTTTGTTCTAGTAAAGACTTTAAGTCACTGAGTAACAAACAGAATAAAAAGGTTATCAAAGGTGGAAACCATCCATTGCAGTTCTGCTAGTGTGAAAGGTTAGTGTTTGGTGAAGTTGCTTGAATAGATTAAAAGGAGACAGTCACTGCTGTGAGTAAATTCACTTGAGACAAAGTACATGCTTAAGCACTTAACACAGGAGCAGTGTTCAGGGAGTTCTGCGGAGAAGAGAATTTGCTGTTCTACTGGCATTTTTACTCTTTGCTGATATTCATTTATGAACACTGTTAAATGTATATAATACTTTCATTCATTGATGAAAAGGGAGGGTCAAACTAGAAAGTCAGGTTCTTTGCAGATGATGTGTAGAACAAGGTTTTGCTGTTACCATTAATAGAAGGTAAATCACAGGAAGTCCTCAGGGAGAGCAGAAAGTAAACTGAAATGTAGCTTTAGAGAGAAATTCCTGATAACAAACTAATTGAAGTAACTCTAAGTTGAAATACTAAGAAAGGAGAAATTGAGAATGAAAAATGCTGTGAGAATGGAAAGAAAATGAAACAAGAGTATGTAATGTATTGTTATGGTAACAGAACGGGCCAAGACAATTTCTAACTGTGCTGGTGTAGCCTTATACAACAGAAGAGTGTTTGTCTTGTGCTGTGCTGGCACAGACACTGTATGCCACTTTGTTACCAAAGCTGTACTGACAATTCTGGAGAAATATAGGGAAGATGAAGAACAACTACTAGAGAGAAACTAGTGAAGAAATACTATTTAAAATAAGCCATACCACACCCCTGCACCCAAGTCCTAATTCTTATCTCACGGAAGTCTGGAGTTTACCTTCTCCTCCTCCTTTTTTGCTTCTGTGCTGTAATGAAGCAGTTTCTAACTTTACTACTCAAGTTCATATGAGAAGAGCTCCATTCTGTCTCTGCAAAGAGCAGAAGATCTGTATTCAATGCAGATGGCAAAATTTGTGCACTAGAGGTGATTAATTTTTTTTCCCATGGCTGTGGTTTCTAGTGTGGAAAAAACCTTTAAGCACATTTAAAAATTTTAATTGGAAAGAGCAAAATAGTGATGTTGTTTGTTGTTCCCTAGTTCCATAATCATTATAACAAATTGTTTAAAGCATTTTACAGACAGATCTATGTGATTCATGAAGCAATCAGTAATGTCAATCCTGTGTGTGTTAGAGAGGTGCTTTTTCTGTAAAGAGGAATGAAAACCTAAAGAACTTTCTGAACTTGGGAATAGATTGTTGCAGGCACCAAAGTGGAGCATGGGGGAGAAGGCAGAGTTTTGAGCATTCTCTTATGTATACAGGACAGGAGAGACAAAATAAAGAAACCTTTGTGCTGGATACTTGTTAGTCATTTTCTGAGATACAAAACCAAACATTGTAAGGCCAAATACAAAGAAATTAATAAAGCTCAAGTTCGACAGTAGGTAAATATTTGGTTTCCTGAACCCCATATAATGTTCAAGTATCATCATGGACCAGATTATCATTTCAGACAAATACAAATGAGGAGCAAATTAATACAAATCAAGATCTTTAGCAGAAGTGAGCTGAAGGTTTGTTTAAAAGGCTCCTAAGGCCATTTACAAGCTCTGGAAAGAATGTTTTATCACTGAAAAATGGCAACTGTGATGAGGGTTTCTATTCTATTCAAACAGGAATCAATTACATATGAGAAATTCAGTCTTCATTCACTCTGTTCCATCATAGTATGACTGTAACATAGTTGCAGATAATATTCCAACAAAGACTTTTTGCAAAGGAGTTTTGGTTCAATAAAGTATTGCAGCGAAGTTTCCTTCTGATTGAAATTCTCTAATTTTGGAAGTGTGACGATTGTGCGATTTCAGCAGATCTTTCTCAACTAGAAAAGCAAGTTGCAAGCACCTTCCTCCTTATTGCAGAGTGATGTTACCTAAAAATCAGCACTACACTGAAGCACATTTGAGGTCATAAATGCGTATTTGAGTCAATCTGCAACAGTTTTATTTAATTGTGTCTGTTTTGTATGTGCTTACCTTTTAGCCCGCACATATTTGTAAGGCAGGAAAGTTAAAACAAATGCTTTCCTGAACTGGTATGCTGAGCATTGTAGAGCTAACACTGTTCAACTGTTTTGAAGCATTAATCACAGTTCTCATTAAAATAGATATAAGGGGAAAATTGAAAGTGAACATACTTTTTTTATTTAAAACCTATGGGCAAACTATGAACTTCTGTGCACAACCTCTGTATGTCTTGGAAGTAGATTGGTCTCAAGTGAAGAGCTTGTGATGTTCTATCCATCTAAGGATGAAATGTTGCATGTTGTTTTGATTTTGTCTAACGCTCATGACATGCTAAGTAGGGTTTATGTATTCTTTATGCTGAGATAATTTGTTTACATGTACTTTTCTTTTTGCTTTCTGTTTTGATTACATTCTGACTGTCACTTCATGCATTTGTTTTGTGTAATATCTGTACCTGCCTCGTATTTTTCTTTAACCCAAAATTTGAATTCTTGTAGAAGTTTTTGACGGACCACGTGTTCTATGTGTTATGTCAAACATACACTTATACTGAAATGCTTCTTGTAATTGAAAAAAATTATCTGCAGCTACAAATGCTCATTCAAATTGTTGGTTTTGAAGCATGTAACATACAGCATTTACCTGGAGATTGTTGTGATACCAAGTGATAAACTTCAGGTTTTCCCATGCAAACCAAATTCAAAGAACTAGTCCTTTGTATTGCATTTTGTCATAGTAGTATGATCTACATAAAAGAACCATTACCTAATGTACTTCTAAACAGAAGGTGACTGCATTGTCAAAGACTGCTGGTGAGTAATTGCAGACAGTGTGCCAGACTGTGACTAACTGGGTACAAAATTTTAAGATTAAATCATTTAAAAACTAGTAATGAGTTTTCAATGCAGCTTTTCTTCCTATAATCTAAAATGCTTAAAATGGACTTAATTTTAAATGTTAACAAAGTATTATCTGTATTTATTTGTAAGCAAATGCAAAATGGTCTTAGAATGTAAGTGCTCCTTTTTGGGTTTGGGGATGACAGCATTGTTCAGATTGATCAAAAGGAAATGAAGTAAATGGTCAGATTCCACATAAGAAAATAAAGGAAATGTCACTCAAGCCATTATCTGGATACAGTCAATATAATAGCCTGTGTACTGTGTCCTTTTGAAGTAATGTGATAGTCTAGATTTTTTTGCTAATGAATAAGCATTTGTCATGTAAAAATCATCCCTGAGGAAGTATCTCATGTAAGGAATTAGTGCAGTTGAAGAGACATATGGATTACAGAAGGCCATTAATTCAGAGGTCCTGTTAGAGCTCAGGTGGAGTACATTGCATTTTTTCCTATTCATTATATATCCCAAGGTGTAACAACAAAACTATCCTCAGTGCTAGTCTATTGTGAATGTTCATTGATTATGTGCAATAGTGACAGAGAGCTTTCATGTGTGAATGCTGCTAGCCTAGGGGAAAAATAAGTTGAATAAAATAAGTGGTGAAAATTACCTGTTCACAGAGTTTTGCTTTGTTAATGTCAGAGTATATATGACCACAGTATTCAACTACCTGGCACAAATGGCTTCTAAAATAATGGCATTTTAGCTTGGGTTTGGGGGTTTTTTTCTCTTTCAGTAATGAAACTTCAGCAGTACTTCAGCTATCCAATTGCATTGACTTAAGCCTCAGGCTATGCCAGGGAAGGTTCAGGTTGGACATCAAGAGGAATTTCTTCATAGGAAGGGTTGTTAAACATTGGAATGGACTGCCCAGGGAGGTGGTGGAATCACCATCTCTGGAGGTGTTCATGAAATGACTGGATGTGTCACTGGGTACCATGGTCTATTTGACAACACGATGATCAGTCAAAGGTTGGATTAGAGGATCTTAATGATTCTGTGATTCTAAGATCATTGTAACCTTTATGTTACTCAAGATGTTTTTTGATTGCATTATGTATAAAAGAAACAAGTCTGAAGATAAAAATAAATTGAGTGCTGGGTTACAAAGACTTATAGAAAAATCCAGTCTTTCTTTTGTTGCATCCTAGGAGGCTTTTCGATGGGAGGTGGAATGGCAATGCATGTAGCATATAGGTTTCATCAGGATCTGGCAGGAGTCTTTGCACTGTCTAGTTTTCTCAATAAAGACTCTGCTGTTTACAAGGTGAGTATGTGGTAGACATTATAGAAAAGCTGCTTAGCTAAATGGAAAACATGGTAATTAAAACTGAATATATCATGTTTATTCATCGGAGGCAATTGATTCATATTCTAAACTTATGCCATTTCCTGGAAATAGATAAGCAGACTATTGGGGAAGTGAGGCTTTAAAGCTGTCCGTACATGATGTTGTGTTGCTTTTTTTGCATAGACAGTACAATTATTAGAAGTGTAGAAGGAGATTAACAAATGAATTTCTTCGCTAGTTTTCCTTAGTTGTTAAAGAGTCTGTGTAAGCAAAACTGTGCTTTGAAAATTTGTGATGAATTATAATACTCATGGGCTCCATCTGCTGTCATGAATTTTTTCTCTTTTTCTTATTTGGAGAGGGGTATAGACCTTAAAGTAAACCTTATCATTTGTCAAGAGTTAGCATATTGGAATTTAAAGGCATTTTTTTCCATTATTTTCTTGTTTACTTTTGTAGAGATAGTACAGTATGACCACTAAAATGCAGATTAATAAATGCAATGCTATGTAAGTTGTCACAATGTAATTGTAACTATTCTTTTAAATTTTTTAGCAATATGTCTGACATTATCTCCTTTCCATCTAGGCTTTGAAAAGAAATGAAAGTGTTCTTCCAGAATTATTTCAGTGTCATGGAACTGCTGATGAACTAGTTCTCTACTCATGGGGTGAAGAGACCAACAAGATGTTAAAGTCACTGGGGGTATCAGCATCACTTCATACCTTTCCAAATCTCAATCATGAGTTAAACAGAACTGAAATAGAAAAACTAAAATCCTGGATTGAAAAGAAATTACCTGTTGAAGCAGCAAAGGCAAATGAATAAAAGAAGATCCAGCCTCGTGTAATTCTTGATTTTTGTGGGTTTAAGATCATGTGTGGAAGGTATATGAGTGTCCCATATCCATTATGTAAGCACAGCTTCAAGGTAGACACTCTTATTGTCCGTAAAGTTCACCTAAGTGGTAAAATGATGGCGCTGACTATTAAAACTGATTTTATTGTATGGGTTCCTTTTTGTATTCTCTTGTCTATTTTTTAAATACACATCCACATCAGTCTACAGAAAATAATGACCAATAATATTAAAACCATTCAAAAATAATGAAAACAGTGTTCAGGAAGCGTTCCCCCCCCAGATTTTTTTGGGGGGGAAGGGTGGAAGGGACTCCAGGGGTTGTTCTAAAGTGGGAAAATACACAGTGGTATGATTGTTTATAATGGCATTACAGCAGAAAAAAGCCAGTTATTAAAATAATGCATATGTTCAAGTTGGTTCAGGGAGAGGAACAGTGGGATTCTCAGCATATGGCAATGAACCTACCTCAAAGCAGACTTGTATGTCACCTCAAAAAAAATGAGGTTTATGTTATATTGTTAAAAAAGTCCTAAGTAGCTGTGTCTAGCTGTACCACAGGCCCTTGTTATTACCCTTTCTCATTGTTTTGTTACTCAGAGATCTAGCTTTGTTTGAGTTTCTTGAGCCCTGTGTTGTTTATAGTGTAGGTTTAAAAAAAAGAAGTGCCATCATGATTGTTAAGATCTGTCCAGTTTTTGAAGAAATCATTCTTTGGGCACTGTTCCTGTAGAAGCTTATTTTTGCCAAGAGTTTTCTTTTGGCCTGCAAGATCACATTTTAAATAAAAAGATGAGGATACTTGACTCCTTCGTGAATATTTAAAAGTTGTAAATAATGATTGTGATATAAAGAAAACTTGTATCCCATTATTTTAATAGTGGATGATTCATCTCTGTGTCAGTTTGATAAATTAACTCAGAGTATAAATATCTATTCTTATGTAATTGTAATGCTTTTTTTTTATTTCTCCCCCCTCTGCCCCATTTTCTACTCCCCAAATTCGGTAATTTTTTTAGCATGAGAAGGTATTCAGCCTTTTGCCAAAGCCAATAGATCCAAGTCTCTTGCTTAATCTTTTCCTTTTCCTTTTTCTGAGGAGTGGATCTAGGACACTGTTGTTTGCTCTGTCACAGCAGATTGCTGCCAGTACTGACTATGACTCCAGAAGTATCAGCCAGCTCCGGAGGACTGAGAGTTTTATTTGAATCCTCGTGCACTGAGACCTAAGCCAGCTTTTACCTATCTTGAATAATAAGCAAAGGGAAAAAAAATGTCACTGTTCAAGTACAAGGCATGTAATTGGCAGTAGCAAGTAACAACTTCCTGCTGCTAAAAATATTTTGCTTTATTTCATTTTCCTAGCATTAGCAAGTCAGCAGTCTGTTCTGAAAAACAGCATTTTAAATGGCACATGAAAACTCAGCTATTTGAAACAGTAAGTGAACAGCAGTTTTTCCTGGTGCCCTAGGCTTCCTAATTACTACAAATTAAATTGAAACAGGTGTGTCCAGAGGCAGCTGAGCTAACATTGCCTTGGCCCAACTCTAATTACAATCCTTGACAAGTGAAGTAGTAGCGTTTTAGCAATAATACATCATTTTGAGTTTTGTCCCATTTTCTGCTCTTCCTGCAGTTCCTATCAAGAGGCTATTTGAGTCACTAATGCAAGGTGGTAATTCACTTTGGTGACAAGTGCATTCAGATGGGAAAGCGGCAAGCTTCTGGCAAGGTGGCTTTTAAAAAGGTCAAAGAACAGCGTAAAACAGTTGAAAGAAGATTGTCGAGGGAATAGAAATTATTACCAAGGCCAGCTCCTTTGATTGTTTTTGAGGTGTCAATAATTGTAAATACAGTGGATGCAGAGTTTGGCTTAGTTCCCTTGATATAGGCTGAGAAGCAATTACAAATGTCTGCGTTTCATGACATCCTTAGAAAATAATAAATCCCCAGTTTGCTTTCTTCCATCTTCCTTGGCTTGTGAGTGAAATGCCAACTAATCAGGAGATGCATTGTGGCATAAGACTGTAAATCTATTGGGTATATGTTGTAATGGAGTCCCAAATCTCAGAGTTTTTGAGGTCACTTTCAGGATGCTGGAAAACTCAGTAGTTTTCCTTCAGTCTGCAGGTACCTACAGTGAGGACACTGTGACTCGCCGATCCCATTTGCTGAGGATGGTGTGGCTCTGTGTCCCAGATGGTGCCTAGCTCATATTGGACAAACAGATTGAAGTTTAGCCCAAAAAAATTTGGACTGCTGGTTGGTATTGAGAAGCAGCCAGAGGCAATATTAGTCCTTGAAGACAGTGGGCCTGCTGTTAGATCTCTAGTCAAATGAAAACTTTAGTGGTCAAAATTAGCTGAGCTTCTTGACAGCATGTTTCAGAAGTAATTCAGATAGGGGTTTTTTTTGACCTGGCCCTTTTTACCACACTTAAAAAAAATTCATTTTTAATTTGATACTGGAAACAGGGCAGGGGTTTATTTGCTGAAAGGACATCTCAGCAATGCTTATGGCACTACAGCTCCAGAACCTCCCTGTTGATTTCTGGGTGGAGTTTGAAGTGCTTCATAGAATCTTTAAGGATCAAAAAGAGTTCCCTTTTAACTGGTTGCATGTTGTTGAGTCAGAGTTTCTGTAGCAGGTGCCAGAGCCCTGAACTGGTATGTCTTATCAGCTGAATCTTGATTCAGATGAAGGGAATGAAAAAGAACACAACTGTTTTCATTCACCCCTAATGTTTCACTCCTGATCATAAAAAATTTTACAGAGAAAGATGCCATCTTCTCTTAGGAGGAGCAAACTCAAGGTGCTCTCCTTTTTCTGTTTTTCCCCTTTGTACCTGAGCTTTCTCCTGTTTCTGTTCATGTTTAAATATACAGTCCTGAACAGCATTTTGAGGAATAAATTGCAAAATTTTAGTGCCAAGAATGGATCTGTATCACTTGAGTTACTGAAGATATGAGAACATAACTTAGGAAGAAGATGGCTCTGTGCTGCTCCAGAAGAGGTAGGAGCAATTAGTTGGAGTGCTGGTTTATGTTCCTATTGTAACTCTTTTGAGGTCTTTTTTCTTTCCTTTCAAATTGAGATAAGAGTTTGGCTTTCAAGTACGAACTTTTAATACCATTTAAAAATATAACTGGAATAACTGATTGAGTAAATCCATGCAGGTTGATATTATTATCTTGGGGCTTGATACTGTTTTGGTGAAACACACAATTCAGTAAGCAAAAGAAAACTAGTTTAATATAAACTTTAACTCTCTTGGGCTCAGTTACTGTGTTCCATACTGCTTCAGAAACAAAGCAGTAGTGTTTGGACTTTTTTTTTCTTTCTACTTTTCTGACGCTACACATTTGTATTTCAGATGTTTGAAATTTGTGACTAGATCATTACTGTGAACTTGAGTGCCTTCTGAGTAATTAATGTGTTCATACAGATGTATAGAGCCAGAGAACAAATGTGACTAAGGCAGAAATTGGCTGATCAATGTGGGAAGCCAGAAGTCATTGGTAATGTAATTTTGACATTAAAGTAAGAAGTCCTCTACTTATATTAATCTCTTCTCATGTTAGATCTTTCACTGCCTTTTTAGTAAATCATCTTTAAAGTCATTTAACAAGTCTCTACAGATGAAGTGAGCCAAGTGGGTGAATGTAACTTGTATTTATAAAGATGAGATCCAGATGGCAAAACACGGAAGCAGGAACCTAGTGAACGACGTTAGAATGAAACTTGTTAAGATGGAGGAAAGCAGATATGAATTTACTTTCCAGTTGACACATATTCTAGGACAGTGAGAAGATTGTTTGGGAGATCTTAGAAGAAAAACCTGTTCTGTGAGTTTTCCAGCTTGAGTCACCCTTCATTTGTGATACAGCTTAAAGGTGCTCTAGAGGAAGGAAATAACACAATTACCGATTTATGTGGTTTCCTACATTTGTTTATTTTCTAAATCCTCTTCTGTTGTGGGAACGTGATATCAGTACTCAGAAGAAAGAGAAGCTGGCAGTTCTATTTTCAATCCAAGTTGTCTGTTCAAATGTTTCTCTCTACAGTGCGATGGGACTTAGCAACATCCTGTTCATGTTCATATCAACTGATCAGTAGCACCCAGCTTATGGGAGACAAGTGCTTTTCCTGTACAGAGCTGTGAGTGAAAATATTTTTCTTTACAAATGGGAGCCAGAAGGAAAAGGCAGTGGTTTCCCCACTCCCATTCTGTACTTCAGCGGCTAGTGTTAGCTAAAGATGTGAAACCTCTGCCCGTCTGAGCATGTTCACCTGCGTGCCAGGTCTTAAAATGTTATATGGTCAATTTATCTAATACCTTTTTCAGTATAGACCTGTATCATTATTCAGTAAACCAGAGGATTCCAGATTTTGCTTTGCTTAGGTCAGTGCCTGCAAAATAATTATGCTTGTTCTCCATCTCTCTCTTAAGAAGGGTTTAACTGTTGCAGTTGAAGTAGAGAAGACAGTATCCCACATCAGTGTGCTAATTACTGGTTTCCGTAATTTCCTGGGAGTGTGGGATGCTGACCTGCACCCTCTCAGGCAGAGGTGGGAAATGAGCTTGTTCCCTGTGCCTTGGGTGAGCATTGTGTTTACTGAACAGTTAGATTAAAAAAAAAATAAATTTAGAAGAGCCAATGGTGTGGATCTAGTAAGGCCCCTTATTCCCCAGGGCACAGTGTTGAGCCTGACTACCTTAGCTAACCTGCTGTCATTGAGGTAGGTTTTGTAAGTTTGAAGTACAGAAATTCCATCCTTTTGTTAAGCACATGAGGGCTGTCCTTGAAGACAGTGGGCCTGCTGTTAGATACTGAGGAGGCATCTGAAATCTTTTGTGGGTTCACTGTGTGAATCTATAGGAGCCCTTAAAAATGCAAGAAGTTGGTTTCTCCTTATTAAGTGCTACAGAACAGTTGTGTAATGAGTGCTAGGCATTATTCTTGGATCATTAATTTCTAGTGACAAGGAAGTTAGATTCCTGAGAACAAAGCCAATGAGACTTTGTAACCTGGGCCTTAATACATAGTGGAGATTGTCTAAATAGACCACAGATTCACCACTTCAAAGGGCCGGTATTTTGTGGTCAGAGGATATTTTGCCCAAAGTTCTTGAAAGTAGTTATTGTTTTAAGTTAAA